ACTTTTCACACATTTTGCTTAGGATGGGAACATTCCATACTATTTGTAACGCGTTATCAATTCTTGGAAAGCGATTTAGAGATGCCGGTTTAAAGGACATATGCATGGAGTCAGGGGTAGTTGCTGAGGGGTCCATAAATGGTGTCCTTGATGGTAAACATGACAACCGTGCTGTTAGGGTACACAAGTGTATCTATGAGGCGCTCCTGAGATTGGCTTGGTCTGTGTTCATACCTCCTTGGGTGGCGGAAAATTATCCAGACAAGACTGCTGACATAAGAACATTCCTGGATCAAGTGAATGACATGGCAAGTGACATCAACGAACAAAATTACAATGTTTTGCTGCAAAGTCAATTCTTCAAGGGCCTTGTACTTTTATGGCAAGAATATCTCGAACATCTTCGTGTTAGTCACGGGACACTGTCTGCATTCTGGATGTTATACATTGATTTTGTTGAAGATGTCATCCTTGGTCTCCTTCGTGCGTCACGAGAAGGTAATTGGAACCTGCATCTCTACGTTGTACGTAAACTTATCCCATGGTGTTTTGCATACGATAAACTGAATTATGCGCGATATCTTTCCCCATATTTTGCTCAGATGACAAATCTAAAGGAGAGTCATCACTGTGTGTATGAAGCCTTCCAAAGTGGACAATTTACAGTGCAAATTTCAGTAGCAGTTATTAAACGCTACTCTATAACTGCAGAGTATCGATGTTCCTTTTTTAGGACTTCTAATGCACATGGTTGGAAAAAAATCATCAGTAGTATCTCATACAGAATTACAACGTCCAAGAATTCAAAGGGACGAAGAGGCTGTGTCAGCAATTGTTGATTTGATAAAGGAATGGGTCAACCCTTTTGCAGAGAAGCAGGATCTTGTTAGCATATCAACTGCCAGGGTTGCGCCAAGAGAAATAACAGCGGACTTGTTGAATGCATATCAGGCTGGCGAAGAAGCTTACATAACCTTCAGAAATGAAATACTGGGGGCAGATCCACCGGATATAAAGTTCCATGACCCGATTAAGACTCACAGACTTCAGACATTCAGCAATTTGAGCCAAAAGCGGGAAGTGAAATCAAGTGGAGGCGCAGCAATTTTAAAAGCTGACAGAACATTGTTTGGTCACATAACAGTGATGTCACAAGGTCGTAATCTGCAGATGGAAGATATTCCTTCGTATCCACTAGGGCCATTACCATGGGCTCTATCCACACCAGATGGGATGCTGCAAAAGACAAATAAAGCAGCAGTAGCAGTAGCGTTACAGAAAAGTGTTTCAGTAGCTGAACAATTGCCAGAGAACTCTGTATCAGTGATTGACGGGATGAGTTTAGTTCAGAAGGTGAAAGGTGATCAAATTACATTTGGAGATATTGCAAACACAGTGTTTTCAATGGTACTAAGGGCCGGGTTGAACAGTGACAGGATAGATGTTGTATTTGACACTGATATAGAAAACTCAATCAAGAACAGCGAGAGATCACTTCGAGGAGGAGAAAATAGTCATCAACTTCAGAATATTACCAGCACTTAAATAGTCAGGCAGTGGAGTAGCTTGGATGAACCCAGAATTTACAGAAAGGCTGCATGGAAAGGTTCTCTATGCAAACGTGATAGAAAAATGTTTCAGAATAACATCTCAAGCCCACGAGGAGATAGCAGATCTCCAGAGCCTGTGCACTAAAACTTATGACCGGTAGCAAAGATATACAAGAAATGTTCCAAGAGCTAGGGAAGGAATGGGAACTCTCTGAAGATTTAATGACCAAGTTAGAATCATTTACTTGCCGTCTTTATGCTCTAAAGGCATCATCCAGAAAGGTTAATGACCTAAGATACGACCTATTTTGTGCTAAAAGGGCGAGATAGAGAGCCACCAGCTTTCACCTTGTTTAGACTGTTTGAAGAAGCATTGCCTGAGAGCAAATTACCAGGCAGCAATATGGCAAAGGTGTCTTTGGCAGGATCCTGAGGTACCTAGTCCAGTTGGGAGAGGTTGGAAGATGGAAAAGAAAGAGGGTGTACAACAGTTAGTAGTACATTGGATGGACCTTCAGCCAGCTCCTGAGGCAGTGCTTGATTTGTTATCCTGCAACTGTATAAAAAATGTACATTGCCGAAATGTGTGTGTGTGTGATAAATGGACTTAATTGCACTGATATGTGTAAACTTGCTGATTGTGAAAATCGAGAATCACTTTACGAATCGGACAATGAACTAAATGAGGATGAAAACACAGAGGACAATGAAAATGAAAATGATTGGTAATGATGATGATGATATTGTGAATATGTCAATTCAGGCATCCAGTAGAGCCTTCATGCAAAATGTTTTATTTATATAATTTCAAACTAAACCATAATAATAATGGACACTTTTATGTTTTTCTAAGTAAGGACGGTAATTTGTTTTACATTTTGGACATCAAAAATTGAGCAACACATGTGCATAATCATTTGCCTCATTATATATATGAACTTTGGTATTTAACTGGTTCTATGTTATTAAGATTTATGAGGTAATGGTTGAATAAAAGTGAAAAATATGCAATTTTTGTTAGAATCAGGGCCAGTAACTCAGTTTATGCTATTTCAATCTGGTCATCCTCATATCTTTAACTAATTGCACATTCTAGTCAAACTTTCTATCACGTTTGGCGACTGTGAGACAAATACTTCCGAGGTAGCAAAAGTATTTAGATCAAAGTACCAAATTTGAACACATCAAGGGCAATAACTCTGTCTCCAGTATGGAAGCCACAACGGATTTGATGCTATCATACATTTCCTAACTAGTTAGGGGTATACCTTACCAAATATCACTATTAGGTTTATTCACTCAAAATGGTACCGACCACCCCCAGTGGCTCAAGGACTATATGGTTTAACACTGGATTTTTCCATTTTGAGCAAGTTGTGCACTTTGTACAGTTTTAAGTGCAAAGTTTCTACGTTACCATTCGTAACGTAAATATTGTTTGTGTTTAATTATTTGAATTATTTGTATTTTGTTGCTTGTTTGATCTGATAATGTATCGTCAACTTACAAATGGTTATACACCAGAAAATTTAAATTTAAAAAAAAAGTATACTGTATCAAACATTTATAATATAAAAGGACAAATTTAAAATCTTATTACATGTATGCCCAGTTAATTTTACATAAAACAGGACAACTTAATTTGAATTGTTTGAGTTGTTAAACAAAGTGTTCGTTTATGAAATTTCATATATATCTTTCAGAAAAAATTTGCAAATTAACATGATTGTGTTATTAAATGCCTATAGATATTAATTGTCTATCAATTAAATGACTTTTTAACAATCCAGATTCGCTAATTAAAACATATGCTTTTTTAATAGGGTTCAGACTTATTAATGATATCACAATCAATATTCACAATATTAAGCTTTTTTCAAACAACATTCTTGATTAAGCGTTGAATAACACATATACTAGTATACGGAAAGGGACAAGCTCCATTTTTACATTCTTATCTTTTAGATAATGTGGGTTTCTTTGACCTGATAAATATTGAAACATTTATTTCAATCTAATTAAGTCGAATGCAATTTTTTGATCTAATCGTGACTTGTGTTCAGTCTAGCGAGATCTACTCACCACCTTATATCGATTTCAAACAGTGCCCCGATACTAAACGTAAAAGGTCTATCGAAGCAAGTTTCACGGAGCATTCATCATCACATGTATCATAGCAGGGGTAATTTTCTTTTGATCTTAACTGTGGGTATCTGTACATAACCATTGATACCCAATAGGCGTGGCAAAACTGCTATAATAAAATCATGACGTAAATCATTTGCATAAATTTCTAACTTTAATATTCATTGCAAAGGTACATTTTCCTCAAAATTAATTAACAAAGAATTCACATACATTTGTAGTCCGCCTTTTCTGTCGGGGGAGAAATTATCCACTGTATAAAATGAAACGAAAAATTAATACTTCATCTCTACTTTTACAATGAACACCCTTTTCAAAGATTGAAATATACTTGACGATTGTTAAATGTGTTTTTACACTCGCAATCTCCATGCTTTGGATTTTCAATTTCGTCCAAGGTTTTTGCCGACCGGTTCATCTCAGGTTCCAGTGCGTTGGAAATATCACGTAGCATCTCCTCACTTGGACTCTTGTATTTACGGACACTATAGATCTGTGGCCTGTACGTTCCATAATTTCCTGTTCCGGTACCCCAGCTTGGTAGAGAGAGGTTGCGCAAGTGCGCTTACCCGAATGATTAGAAAAGAATCCGGGAATTCCGGCTTTATCACACATATTTTTCATAATTGTAGATAATTTGTTGACTCCAATGGGTTGTACTCTGAAATGGACTACGCTCTTTTCTCCGTTTGCCAATGGTCGCCGGTAAAATGTTATTTTCTGAATTAACCACCACCAGATTGAAGTATTCCTTGTAGATATTGTATACTTTTCCCCCTGGAAGTGATGTCTTATTGATTTCGCGCTCACATGTCTTTGATACAACCCACCTTAAAAAAATGACATTGTACATTCAGATTGTAATTATTCTAATAAACATTGCACAATTTACTTTTATCAATAGTTTTGTTCGCAATTATGTATTTGTAATTATTAATATAAATTCTATATAAGGTCAAAAGTAAATTAACAGATCGATATAGAAATTAAATTTTTTTCAGCATTTTGCACCACATGCATTTACAAACCCGATTAACTGATAATGTTTTGTGTTCGTCAATAGCTCTCAGGCCAAAAACTTTGCAATTGTAGAAAAAGATAGTATTTAGCATAGATTCTCCTGTACTGTTGCCGAGGAGACCCTTTTCCCAAAGAACATTTTCTGCCTCTTCAGAAATCGGCTCGGCCTGTTTAGTAGACGTCCCCACTCCTTGTGCGGTAAGTTCTGCCATTCGCGCGCTAAGAGTCTTCCGAAATTCGTAAAATTGGGAGTTCTTTTCATCTAGAAAATTCAAATGCACACCATTATATTTCTCGCAAATGTCTTAAAAGTCCAGTACACAGCATGTAAAGTGTTTTAGGTGGGTACGCCTTGCCATCTTTGCGTCGCGTTTCAACAACAAATCTTGACAACCAAAAATTAAGTTCCTCTGCAGAGAACGACAGAATATCCGGAATCTGGTCGCCTGTTGTCAAATTCCGAGCGGAGCGCCAGTCGTTAAAAGTAGTTACCGACCAATTTGTGTTCTTGCGGGTGTTCTTGCTCTCTGTTGAATTAAACAACTCTTTTAAATCACTGTCATTTACAAAATGACCATAACGACCCACCGACATCTTCGATCCTCCCTCCTTTTTTGCGAGCAGGTCAAAATCAAATGCGTAGTCCAATTCCATGTCATCGGGTGCGGGATTGTACAAGGTGATTGCCTTAGATAATGTGATGTTCTCTAGAAAATTTTCGCACTCAATCTCCTTCTCTATCTGCTCAGTTGCTTCTGAAAGAGTAATGTCGTCAATTGTAGTGTCCTCAGTTGCTTCTGAAAGAGTAATGTCGTCAATTGTAGTGTCCCACAGGCTCCCCAAATCAAATAAACCCTCGCAGGTATCGTCCACGTCCATTTTACTGCTTTATTACCCGTCCACATTCACTTCTAAGCGGGAAATGAAGCGCCGAAATTTCTTTTTGCACGTGCAAGATACTTTGTAGGGATCTGATACATGTGACTTACACAAAAGGTTTTAATTGGTTATGTATAGAAGGACGAAGGCGGGGCAAAAATGTCACGACGCTGCGCGTCCTCGTGACATTTTTTCCCCACCTTCGTCCTTCTGTACATAACCAACTAAAACCTATTGTGTAACTACTACAAAGACGTATAATGACTTCTTCTTCATTGCCAGACGATGTTTCTAATTTATCTACAAAGCTATACAAACGCCACCTTCGGCCATCAACAAAACCCCTCATCTACACTTTGGACGCCAACTTCCAAAATATTTTTCATCTTCTTTAGACCCACAAAAATCTTTAATCTCCAAAATCTGTACAAAACCCCATGAGGGAGAATGTGATGAAGTTGAATTATGCTGTTAAATTAGTTTTGTTATTTTGTGTGTAAATAGTTGAAATTATATCGCTAGTTTGGTTCCGTAGTTGAGAGTGTTCGTGAATAGGGCTATTTTTATTTTAACTGGTTTGGTCACTGAAAGTCGTGGCTGTTTGTCAAGTGTGAGGCCATGTTTTGATTTTCTCCTGTAGTCGATGTTCCATGGCGAATTCCAGAAGTTTGTTAAACTGGTAGCCAGGGAGTCGGTAAATTTACTACATGGGCATTTCTTTCTCCAGCTGGTAAGATATTATTTTCTTTTGTATGAAATATATGGAGATAACGAACAGTATTCAAGCTCAAAAGTCCATTAAACAATACAATTTAGGAGCAGAGCAAACACGAACCTCCAAACATCAGAGGTGGGATCAGGTGCCATGGAGGAGTGAGCATTCCTTGCCGACCGGTCACACCCGCCGTATGCTCCTTGTCATGATCGGGAAATAACGGAACAATCCCTCAACAATTCAGTGTGTAAATAATGGCCTACAATTAGTATGAAAAACGTCAGATAGCATTTGACTCAATGATAAATTGTATTTGCATGCTGACAAGGTCATTGTATCGACCATAGCACTTACGAAATGATGACTTTAAACGAGACAGCTGATATTCTTGTTTCATCAACTTGTTTGACAATAATTTCCCTCGTTTTAGAAATTGTACATACGTAGAGCATGCTCTTGCATATCGAATCAACTTAGAGATATATACCCCGTATGCAGGTGATGAAGGTATTACTTTGCTGCATAAGTAAGGGAAGTTGACGATTGAAAAGTTAAAATCATCACGTTTATCATGAAGCTTGATTGTTATCTAGATTACCATTAACGTCTTTTTCAAGTAAAATGTCCAAATATGAAACAGATGTGTCAGACTCTGTGGTATGTTTTATCTCAAGCTCACTGGGATATATCGTATCAACATAAGAATGGAAATAGCCATTGTTAATTGACAATACGTCGTCGATGTATCTAAATGTCGAGTTGAAGGCCACAGCAAGTGTTTTCTTCTTTTCACGTACAAGATTTTGGACAAATTTTGCTTCATATAATTACAAAAAAGGTCTGCTAATAACGGGGCGCAATTGGTACCCATGGAAATTCCAATAGATTGTTGGAAGACCTGGTCTCCAAAAACCACATAGATATTGTCAATCAGAAACTCAAGCATCATTTTAATGTCAACTTCAGAGTACTTGTCTGTACAATCAGAATGTTTTTTAACAAAATAATTTTGCAAATGACCGATGACAAGGTAAGTAAATTTACGAGTTCCATTTTTATTGAAAAAGCAGCTGTCAATGATATCAAAAAGCCTGAAGTTTTCTCCTTCACTACTGTTATTATCTTAGTGAGGAGTAAATAAAGAGGCTTGGTTGAACATTTACTGGAACCCGCTATGTATCTTTGTTTGTAAGGATTTTTTATGAAGTTTCGGAATCCAGTATAAATATGGTAATTCAAATTCATTTTGGTTGTTTGGAATATTAAAAATATTCAAAACTGACATATGATTTTGAAGAATATCTTCCTTAGAAAGGGAACTATGAGTACAAGTTAGATTACCACTTGTAGAATTAAATCCAAGTACCTCTAAAATACATTTAATATAATGAGTCTTACAAACAAAGAAAATGTTCTTACCTGCTTTCTCAGCAGGGACCAGTACGTACTGTTCATGTAATCTATCTAATTCTTTTTTCACTTATGGATTATTGAATACAGAAGGATATATGATTCTCATATTGCCCCTCAATCTTTTAATGCGCGATTTTAACATATATCTGATACATTTAATCCATTCTGACAAAGTGTCAAGGTCTTCTTTTTCATGTCTGGCCCATCGCCTGGCGTAATCCTCTGCAGAATCCATAATATTTATGAAATTCCGACTCCAGTTGAAGGATCGAGGTTCCCTATATTTAGGACCTTTTAAAAGTAGTGAACTAAGGTCCTCATTATTAACTATGTATATCTACGTTACCAGTAATAAACGTGTCCAACAGGACTAAAGTTATAGGGTGAAGAAGAATAAAATAGAACACGATGGAGGATTATGTTTCATGATATTCGATATCCAGGCCCTGTAAAGTTTTTTTGTAATTAAAAAGTTTGGAAGCAATAGTCGATGTATATTTGTAGGAAATACAAGGTGTAGTCTTCAACTTGAAATATGGTGGAATAGAAGACTGGACCCTTTTGTGATTAAGAATATTACTTATATTAACCGCGTCAATTCCTTTGTTGGCATATTGAAGTTTAAGGGAAAAACGGATTGTTTTAGCTGCATTTTCTTCAGTAAAACGTGGGGGTTTAAAAAGCCTTTGATTTGCAATATCCATAATCACACTTCCAAGACTATATTCTGGTGTCGAGGAATCAAGAAATGGACTTTTCTTGGCCGTTTGAAGAAGACTACTTAAAAGAGTAAAGTTTGGTGCGAATATGATGTAGACCTAACTGTTGTTTACGTAAAGTAGTAATGAATCAAAAGAGACATCGTGTATTAAAGGTTTATTGTAAGACCGATGTCCATAATTACGCTTACGTCTCTGTGTATGGTTAAGAAGTCCCATCACATTTACATTGTTACACTGTGGACTGGAAAGATTTCCAACACTATCGACATTGTCATTACATCCATAGGGAAAGGCTGTCCCTAGCTTTCTAATCCAAAACTCTTCTCGTTGTCTACGGAAAATAAAGAGCTAGGTTCACTTTATGCATAAAATGGCCCTGTAGATATACAGTCAAACCTGTATTAAGAGACCTTCCAACGGAGAAAGGAAAAAAGGTCACATATGACAGGTGGTCTCTTAATACAGGTTGCTTATTTTCAGCAGTGTTCAAATATACAATGCTGAAAATATTACACGTGTATGTGGAATGTATTTTATAGGTACTGCTCAACTCTAAATGCTTTTATATTATAGGTATAATTGTCCTGCTCAGTAATAAAATTTGCTTGATCTGCACATGAGTAACTTGATTATAATTGGGAAATATTGTGAACATCTGAAAATATTAAATAGTTTTTATACAGTATAAAAAAAGCTGCATAGATTTTTTCTATATTTTTTTTTTTTTTTTTTTTTTACATGATAACTTCGTATGTTTTGCAAGTTACTAAGAATTAAAACTGTATCATGATTTTTTGTTATGCACTTGGTAACAAATTAAGTTATATTTATGACTAAAAATTTATTTAACCTAATTATTTTTTTTTTCATTACTGAACTACCGCGTCTAATTGCCTGTTTGTCACCTACTTCAATTATCACCTGTTATGGGTGCTAGCTAGCGTGTGTTTACTTACCCCGTTGGTGACACATTTCACTTAAATAAACATCTAGGATTTAGTTTCTTGTTAATTAAAAGTTAAACAGGCAGGTTATATAGTTGAATATCCATTTGGCCCTTATAGCACGAAATGATATCGGGATCGACCTCGAACGTCTATATTTTCAAAATGGCACTCAATCATTGGAGAGAACAAACCTGAATGTTTATGTATTGGATTTTAATGTTTATTCAATAAATATCAAAACGTAAGTAAAAATATTTATTTTGATATGTTGTTTTATTCCTAACACTCGCATGATATAATTATTAGATGAAATTAACGCGTGTCTGTAGATGTTTTGAACCAAAAATACGTAGCATACTCGACCGAAATCGAAAGTAGGAATCGGAAATATATAGTCGTTAAATCCAGGTAAAATTGCCTGAAATTACAAAAAATGGTCAGGAAAATCACGGTCGCTGGTCGCATTAGACAGGTGGTCGTTAAATACAGGTATAATATAAAGGAAAAAGCATTGGGGGGAATTCTTACGGTCACATATGACAGTGAGTCGCTTAATACAGTGGGTCGCTATGGCAGTTTTAACTGTACCAATTTATTGACTAACACTTTATGTTCCATTTTAAACATCAAGATAAAGTATGAATTTAGTGCTTTCATTTTCTATTAAAAATTTTCTTCTTAAAGCCAAGGTCTTGGAAAACTAGCTTCATGGAATTGCAATGTTCTTGAATTTTAAGGAAAACAAGTATATTTGAGTACATTCACAGAAGAGAAATAATATGAGCGCACCCTCTGATCTAAAAAATAAAACATGTTTTGTAATCCTCAGAAATAGTTCTATCATTTAATAGTTGCATATTTTAGATCAGAGGTTGCGCTCTATATTAAATATCGAAAAATAGCTTTAAAAATTGATTGGCTGTTTTTGTAGAATTTTTCAGGATATGAGGAAAATGACGCATTTCATGACGTCATAATACATTGACTAGCCAGAAAATTACGTCATTTTTAATTGATATGCAGTCACCAAAGGTCTAAATGATATTAAAAGTATTGTCAACAAAAATCAAGCAGTTTCAGTTTTTTCTGAAATTCACAGGGCCAAAAAAGGCCTAAGTGAACCTTGTGGGGTTTGTTCCAACTTTACGGGTGTGTTGTTTGTTATAACTATTCGTAGTTTAACAGTGTTTAAGTGAGTATTGT